ATATATATATATAATATATGAGAGAGGTATATATTTGTGATTTTGTGATATACATAGAGAGAGGTGTATGTTTGTGATATATATATATATATATATTTAATAAAAGAGAGAATATGAAGCATTTCCTCTCCTACCTAAAAAATATTTATTTCTTTATTTGCCCATCTGTTGGTTTCATTCAAATTTCTTCATCAGAGAACACATGAGACAGTTTCTCCCTTTTGTCTTATTTTCTGGGTGGTCTCAGTAACAACACAGTGTGAACTCTTCTTCGCTGCTTGGCTAAACTGACTCCTGGAGACAGATGACTTGGTCTGATATCATCCAACTGAGTTTAGGTTCTTCATATGTGAAGCTTTGTCGGTTCTCAGTGTGAGAGGTGGATGTGTCTGAGGAATTACAGAACAAGCCGTATGTTACATTCAGGAAATCAGAAGCTCCATCCCCAGGACAGTCCTGTTAATCAGCACTGTTTATATCAAGTGCATCTAAATTAAACATTCACATCCTTTCCTTCAGTGGAGAATTTAAATATCTAGGCTAAAAATGAATTTTCATAAGTAGTAATAAGTACTGCTGCTTGGAAGCAAAAAACAAATATAATTTAAAAGTCATGAAACTGTATTGAAGGAACACATTATAAACATGTCCTCAATAACAAATCACTGTATCAGTTCTGTTTCATAAAACACTCTCTTCTATTCGCATTCGCACAGAGCAGGCAAGCTTTTTCTCCCATTACACGTTCACAAAACATGTTTTTTAACAAGACAATTTGTGTGATCATAGGAAGCTACCCTGTATAACCTGCATTGTGATAAATTGGCTTCACTTCTGAGTTCATTACTTGTGGTCTTTTCTAAATGGACTTGCACAGCCTCCACCCGACTGAGTGGAGCAGTGTACCTGCCTCTACTGCAGAAGGGCAGGGCCGACCCTTAAAGTGCTGTGCAGCTGGTTGGCTGATCTTCAGCACCTTGCCCTCCCCCACCATCCTTTCTTACTCACCCCTGACGGTGAGTGACTGTAGATTCTTAAGCTCTGCAGGTGTTTGTAAGCATGCATTGTTTTCAGGAGAACCCCTAGGTGTGTGATATCCCAGGTCCCTCTGTGGACCTGTCTCCAGGAAAAGTCTCACATGCTGTTACCTAGGCTGGGCTTCCAACCAAGCTTCCCATTCCTCCCTCAAAATTCCTCCCTCGATTCAGGAGTCTATGGTGTCCCTTTGGTTTTCTTTTGTTTGGTTGTTTAAATTTCCTGAGTTACATGTGTCTAAAAAAGGTTTCCATAGTTCCTTTTGTTAAAATTTCATGCAAAGTCATGATCAAATATCCATGGGTGACATCAGCTCAGTGTGTCATGAGTAGCACACAGGAGCACTGCACTGGTCATGTGTTTGGGTTCACAGATACAGTTTCTATTCAGGTGCTTATCCAGGTCTAGGTGCAAGATTCTGGTAAAGGAAGGCAGTGGTGATGGTCCTAAGAGAATAGAAACATTTAAAAAGTTAGAGGCAAAGGTTATTCTCAGCACTGACAAATGCCTGGTTTAATTATTGCATTCTGACAGTTGACAACTGATTTACATACAGAAAAGCTTCAAAAAGTTTGAAGGAGAAACAGTTTATTGAGCTTTCTTTATTTTCTTATTTATTGCTAAATTATAAATAGTGCTTTTCTGGAGTTCAGGTTTTCAATACTCTTAGTGTTTTTCTATATACACTCTTATTTAACCACATGGTGAAGAATCGCGCTCAACACACAGGGACAAAACCAAGTTTCGGGATGCAAAAGCGAGAGGAATTTATTCATACACAGGCGCCTGCGGACGCAGAGTCCCGCTCGGGTCAGGACTTGCGTGCCGGGCTTAGCTTGGGAGGGCCTTTTATAGAGCAGAAGCAGGGTACAGAAGCAGATGCATGGTTACAAGATTATTATTAGTGCATTTCAATGGGTACAAGGTATGAGGAAACAGTATTGCCAAATTCAGAGGGGGCTATGGGTGAAACTGATTGTTATCGTTAACTTCCCAGTAGGGGCTGTTATCACTAACTTCCCGGTAGGGGCCTCAGGGTGGTGGCAGGTGGTCCAACTGCAAACGTCCTATCTTCCACTGCTAGTTTCACAAGACCTGGGTTAGAATCTTGGCTTATCGAATGGCTGATTACAGTTCTTTTTCTAAAATGGCCTTCCTGCTGTCAGTCGGGTCCTTCAAAAGAATTCCCCTTTCTCTACAGCCTCCCCAACATTTGGTGTCATTAGTTTCTTGATTTTAACAAGTCTTACTGGGGAAAGATGAAATGTTAAAGTGGTTTTAATTTGCATTTCCCTAATGATTGAGGATTTGAACACTTTATGGTGTTTCTTAGTCATTTTTATTTCTTTGCTTGAGAACTCTATGTTCAGGTCCTTAGCAGATATTTTAATTGGGCCATTTTTTTTCTTGTTTCTTTGTTTTTTTTTTTGTTTTTTTTTTTGTTTTTTTTAGTACTTTTTATATTCTGGACATTAAACTCCTGTCAGATGTGCTGATGGTGAAGTTTTTCTCCCACTCAGTGGGTCTCCTCTTTGTTTCCTTAGTCGTTGCTTTTGCTGTACAGAAGCGCTTTAGTTTAATGAAGTCCCACTTGTCAATTGTTGACCTTAATTACTAAGCATCTGAGGTCATATTTAGAAAGTACTTTCCTATACCTATATCTTGTAAGCAGTATGGATTACTCTTAAAAATCTAAAAATGCATCTACAATATGATCTGGTTATGCCACTCCTTGGCATACACCAAAAGGACTCATCCTACTGCACAGATACTTGTACATCCATGTTTGTTGCTGCTCTTTTCACAATTGCTGAGAAATGGAAACAACCTAAATGTACCTCAAGTGAGGAATGGATAATGAAAATGTGATATATTTATACAATGGAGTTCTACTCAGTCATAAGCAAAGACGAAATCCTGAAATTTGCATATAAATGGATGGAACTGGAAACTCTTTTACTAAGTGAAGTAGCACAGACTCAGAAACACAAGGGACATGTGTTACTCCTCATTTGTGGATCTTAGCACCAAATTCATATGTGTGAGTATATATCCTGAGGTAACTGCAGGAACCAGGGAAATGGAGAGGGATCATGGAGGTAAAGGGAAGGAAAGAGCCTGAGAGAGGGGATACAGAAAACAGATGCTATTACCAAGGAAGAAATGGGGAAAGTTGGGGTATTCAACTGAGAAGGGAAGAGGGATATAAAAGGAGCCATGGGGGTAAAGGGAAAGGTAGCGCTCAAGAGAGGGGGGAATCACAGGAGCCAGGTATGATCAAGGGGAAAATGGAGGTACTTTAACTGGGAAGGGAGGAGGGAGTTTAGACATGGAGAGAAGAAGTAGAGATACATAAAGATTAAGTGGTATGAAAAGCAGAAGGAAATTTAATAGCTCCAAAGGGTACTGAAAAACATCTAATATCTGAACATGAGTGCATGTGCATACCTGAAGGCTATATAACAAGAAACATGGTGCCAGACAGGAGAAACCTCCCCTCCAGTTGTTGATAGGGAAGTCCAAGAGACTCCCAAAATAACACAGGCTATTGCTGTAGCCCTTGAATACCTCCCAGCATAGAACTGGAGAAATGGGCAGCAGGACCCAACCCTACCAGAACTACTGGCAGCTGATCACTGCTGGGTAAAGTAGAGTTGACATTTAAGGAGGAGACTCTAGATAGGCTGACTAGGCTCCAGTGGATGAACTTGTAATGAGGGACATGTGAGTACACAAACTTGATTCGATAGGCCTTATTAATATAGATGAAGGAAAACCTGAAATCCGGTGGGGGGGCATGGAGGGC